TTATCTTATAACAGTGTGTTTGTGTGTGTGTGTATGCTTTTATGTTTGTGAGGGGTGTGGTTCTAATAATTATGTGTAGTTGCATCAGGTCTTAAAATCTGAGAATTGTGGAAATATCTTGACTCTCATGTTTCCTGTCTCACACCTGAACTCTTTTCAAGTTTTGAGTACCTTTACCTTTGCCTGTCTATGAAAGGGACAGAGACAATAACAGCACACCTGCAGAGTTTTTGAAAAGTGAGTGGCTGATAGTAACAATTCAGCTTATCCAAAAAAATATTCGTTGTTCAGCAGGTGGGCCTGTCACCTTCTGATATTTCAAGAAAATATGGCTAGCTCAGGGCCTTGGTTTGCCAGTTTGTTTGTGCTGGCCCCTAGTCCTCCCTTGGCTGTGAGTTGCAAAAGTGAAAATTGCTATTCTCCAGTATTCTGCCATTTTGCCAATTGCTAATACCTCATCCTGTTTTTACCTTGTAAAAACATGGGGGAAGACAGGTGGTATGCCACATGAAGATCACTAAGCAATAGAAGATGACTAAACTTCATGTTTTGTTGCATGTTCCAGTAGGTTTTATGGAAAAAAGTGAAATTTTTGTTCTCAAGGAAGTGAATATCTGACTTAGAACATTTCTCTAATTTCTATGTTTTTTAATTGTTCTAAACCATAAAGAGAGAGAGAGAGGAAGAATATTGGAATTAGTCATAGTCAAACCGTGGAGAGATTGTTTCAGTGTATTAGAAGTCTGTGAGACGGGATTTGAACATAGTTTCGACAGGAAGTGAACATAGTTTCAGTGAAGGGAAGAGTCTGGTGGTGGCTATAACCTACAGTAGACCTGGGCAGAGCATAGAACCTTGTGTCAAATCCCTGTGAATTCTCAGTTCCCCCTGACTGTCTGCCTCACCTTTCCTCTTGCACACATTGAAGTACAGAGTACCTTTCTGATCCAGAGTGTGTGGGTTGTTTCAGGACTCATTGGTCATTGAGGATGTGGCCGTGGTCTTCACCCAGGAAGAGTGGGCATTGCTGGATCTTGCTCAGAGGAAACTCTACCAAGATGTGATGATGGAAACCTTCAGAAACCTGGCCTCAGTGGGTAAGAATGATCATTTCATTGAATCCTTTAGTGAACAAAAATACTGTACTCATTGACTTTTTTCCAGTATTTGGCCCGAGGAACTGGAATACATAAAGTAGGCATAATACCTTGCTCTGTGTAGCTTACAAATCCTCCTTTCCCTATTGTCTTATTTGTGTAGTGCTGCTCTGACACGTGTACCACAAGTGGGTAACTTTAATGAACAGAAACTTAGTTTTTCACAGTTTAAAAGGCTAGAAGTCAGAATTTAGGGTCCTGGCACTAGGGGAATGCTTTCTCTCTGTGTCATCTCAGGAAAGGTCATTGTTTATTCATCTTCTATTGCTTAGTGATCTTCATGTGGCATACCACCTGTCTTTCCCATTCTCTGCTTCTTGGTTGCTTGTTTAATCTCTTTTATATCTCATAAGGCATCTGTTTAAGATATACCCTCTAGTAATACGGTCTCATTAACATAACAAAGAAAACCCCTTCCCAATTGGAATTAAAATCACAGGTATAGGGGTTAGGATTTACAATACATATTTTTCAGGAAAACAAAATCACATCCATAACACAAACATAAAACTCTGTGTATTAAAGTGAGTTTCCAGTTCTCTTGTGTTTAAAAGCTTTGAAGTTCTTTAAGTGTTACAAGTGTAAGCATTGTTTTCAGAGGTCTCTTTGAGGCACTATAAATTTGTGGTTTGGGACCATGTAGAGAGTTTTACTGTTTATTACAAGTTTGACATTATTATTTTACCATACATATACTCACACCTGTTCATCTTCCAAAACTGAAGACCATCAATCAGCTAGAAAAAGTGTCTTTCAGGTTGAGGAGACTATTTCACTGACCTTATCAGTTTCCTTTCACCTGTGGTAATAGAGAAGTACTTTCTCTTTTTCCTCTTTTACTGTTCCTTGTGTATTACATCCAGTGTCTTTTCTACATAGCTCTCCTAATTACACCTATTTATGTCACTATCACTCACTTCCCATGGGAACATTTCCTAGTAAATGGCTTTTTAACCATTGCTAGTATTCTGATACAATGAAATGTATGGAAGTCTTTATTTACAGCAGCTTCCTTTTTGCCCCACTAATAATTCCTCTACTTTTTGTTTCATGTTGTGAACCTCACCTTGAATCATTGGGTCAGTGTCTCAAAACTTTAATGATGGAGAAAAATTATCCAGTGAGCATATAATAGTACAATTCATGAACAATAACAGCTGGTCCTCCATGTTAGGAGAAATCATCGAATTGCCTGTCAGTGAAGATCAGCCTAAAAATCAGGGGAGACATATGAGGTGAGTGTCATTCAAATGAGAGAAAACTCATTATATATATGGGTGTGTGTGTGTGTGTGTGTGTATAATTATGTGTTCAGAGATTTCACAATGCAATGTTTTCGTAAATTTGAGTGAGATATTGACTACTTGAAACATATTTTAATTGTACATAATTATCAGAAAGCCTCATGTTTTAGAAAAATAGTAACAATAATAGTAGTATCTCTGATGTATAACATATGAAACGTGAGGCAACACGGCAAAAACCATGCATGTTCACAGTGTTTGGCAATGGTGAATTGAGAACAGATTTATTTCCAACAGCATGTTACTTATTTTTAACAGAACACATGAAGTAGATAACCTCCTTGGAAGTAATGGTGGCAATCACTGTGGAAAAACCTTCAGTCAGATTTCAGAGCTTTCTGTGCTAAAAGGAAATCCTCCTGAAGTAAATCCTTTTGGAGTCTATGAGTGTGGAAAAGCCTTCATGGAACACTCATTGCATAAGCATCATACCAGATCTTACACTGAATGCAGTACTGGTCATTCCAAGGAACGTGGAGAAGCATATGGTTGTCCCTGCTATCTAAACCCTCCAGCAAAAAGTCTTACTGGAAAGAAACCCTGTAATTGTAAGGTATGTGGGAAAGACTTCATTTGTATCTCACACCTTAAGAATCCTCTGACAACAATTACTGGAGAGAAGCACTATGGACATAACAAATGTGAGAAAGAGTTCTGTAATTTCACCTCCTTTGGGACACATGCTAGAGGTCATAAGCATGAGTGTAAAGAATATTGTAAAACCTGTAGTTCTTCATTTCTCACTTTACCTGAAAAATGTAATGGACATAAGCCTCATGAGTGTAAGGACTGTGGGAAAGCCTTTAGTGATTCCTCACAACTCACTATACATTTAAGAACTCACAGTGCAGAGAGGCCTTATGAATGTAAGGAATGTGGGAAAGCCTTTAGTCAGGCCTCATCACTCACTATACATATAAGAACTCATAGTACAGTGAGGCCTTACGAATGTAAGGAATGTGGGAAAGCCTTTAGTCGCTCCTCATACCTCACTGAACATATAAGAACTCATAGTGGAGAAAAACCTTATAAATGTAAGGAATGCGGGAAGGCCTTTAGTCGTTCCTCATATCTCACTGAACACATAAGAACTCACAGTGGAATAAGGCCTTATGAATGTAAGGAATGTGGGAAAGCCTTTAGTTCTTCCTCCCACCTCACTACACATAAAAGAATTCACAGTGGAGAGAGACCTTATCAGTGTAAGGAATGTGGGAAAACCTTTAGTGATTCTTCATCCCTCACTCAACATATACGAACTCACAGTGGAGTGAGGCCTTATGTATGTAAGGAGTGTGGCAAAGCCTTTAGTCGTTCCTCATACCTCACTGAACACATAAGAACTCACAGTGGAGTGAGGCCTTATGTATGTAAGGAATGTGGGAAAGCTTTTAGTCAATCCTCACACCTCACTACACATATAAGGACTCACAGTGGGGAGAGATCATATGAATGTAAGGAGTGTGGGAAAGTCTTTAGGCAGTCCTCAAACCTCACTACACATATAAGGACTCATAGTGGAGAGAGACCTTATGAGTGTAAGGAATGTGGGAAAGCCTTTAGTCAGTCCTCAGCCCTCACTAAACATACAAAAATTCATAGTGGAGAGAGGCCTTATGAATGTAAGAAATGTGGTAAAGCCTTTAAGTTTTTTTCACACCTCACTTCACATATAAGAACTCACAGTGGAGAGAGAGGCCTTCTTAATGTAATGAATGTGACAAAGCATTTAGTCAGTTCTCAGTCCTTATTGAACATCAGTAACCTTACAGTGGGTATGGACTTTATGAATATAACCAATGTGGGAAAGCTGTTGTTAATACCTCTTGCATCAATAACACAAAAGTAGGCTTAGTGGACAAAATAATTATGAATATCAGGAAGGTGGTTAAGCCTTTAGATTTTCTTTCTGTCTCTGTAAACATACTAACTCACAGTGGACAGTGTTCTTACAAATGTAGGGCTTGTGGGGAGATCTTCAGATGTTTTTTATTCTTTGGAACACATCTGATAGGTATACTGGAAGTAAACAATGTACATCTAAGCATTGCTGGATAATTTTCATACATTTTCTTTTGTAAGCCTGAAAGAATATACATGGCAGATTAACCATGTAAGTGTAAGAAACATGGCTAAACTTTTGTGTTTCTCCGAAGTTTTTAATTTGCACATAAGGAAAATCCATCTGAACAAATGAGAGGTCACAGTGGAGATTCATCATGTACCTGGGGTCATATACATGTCTTTTTTCCAGTCTTAGACAGCATACGAGATACTACATTGTGGATTGAGCCTATGAATGTAAAAGATGCCGGTTCTCTTCCGTGTCCACACTCCTTCACCATACCTATGAGAACTCACACACTTGAGAGACCCTTTGACTGTAGGCATTGGGAGAAGGGCTTCACAAATAATTTCCTTGTTTGTATACAAGGGGATTCATACTACAGGAGAAATCATATCAAAGGCACATGTGTAGATTTTATTACTGCCTTATTCCCATGTGCGTTAATTTCCATTTTTTATTTTCTGATGTAAACATTAAAGTGATAACTATGACTAAATACCCTTTCATTTCTAGGACATGAATTTTGATCATTAGTGTCTGCATTTTGGTTAATTTATATAAAAATTTTCTTCATTACAAAGTCTCATCAACACATGAACGCTTTGAAGTGTGCTTTCTGTTTATCAGCTATGGTAAGTTGAACTATCTTTTCAGAGTATAGAAAGGAGCAGCTTGGCTTCTAACCTAAAGGTCAGACGTTCAAACCTACCAGGTGCTCCATGGTTGAACGATATGGCAGTCTCCTTCTGTAAAGATTTACAGCTTTGGAAACCCTATGTGGCACTTCTGTGTTGTCTTGTAGAGTCACTATGAGTCAGAATCAACTTGACTGCAGTGGGTTTGGTATTTTGGGTTCAGAGTATAATGCTTCATGTTCTCATTGTAGAAAATTGTTTTTGACTGAATAATGTATGGAAAAATAAAAGTCACTTCGAATCTGACCACACTTGGTATGTTGGGTGTTTCCTTTCCCCATCTTTGTATGAAAAGCCATGTTTTTAAGAGAATCAGGATGGTACTGTATGTTTAGTGCTGTAGTGGATATATTTTGGATTGCATCTCATTTGCTTTGACTACAGTCATAGAGGATGGTTCGTCTAGGGCCCAAGACAGTTGTGTGCCAACACAGTACCCAGTCTCACCCGTCTTACACAGGCTTGGAGATTGTGCTCAGTGATAAAGTCCTAGTTTTGATCATTATGATATTCCAAGAGTATGGTCCCGCCAGGGTCTGAGGCTGCCGTTGCTTAACTGGAATAGTGGCCTCTGCTCTACCTGGTATGCACGCCCACTACAAGACCTGGACAAGATAACACACCACCTAGGGTTTCTGTATTGTTAGGGACAAGTTAAGTGGCTATTGAGCATTGAGATTTATCCAGAGTGGGAGCTGCCTCACTGACTGTTCACGTAAGTAGCCTTGAAATTGTGGCTGCAAATTAGACCTTGCCTTGACCCAACAATTGCCCTTGTAGCATCCTATGGAAATCCCTGGGCACCATGCTGGTGATTATTGATAATTGTGGTATGTAGTGGAAATCATGAAAGTCAGTGTCCACCAGGAAGGGGATCGTTAGGTAAATGCTTAGCCACACACTGCAATATTGATTGCCACTAAAGGAGTTCTCTTCACAGTTTCAAAACAGTAAGTCACTTTTGGAATTTGTGTCAATAAATGAATTAAGGCTTAAGATTAGTAACACAATGGAAATATATAGAAGAGTTCCTCTCTTCCCTACAAAAACACCCTCATCCAGAATTGAAGTACATTTGGGTTTCCACTTGCTAAAAGGGCAAGGAGGCCCCATCTCCTGACCTCCTCTAACCCAACAAGAGGAGTACAGAGTCACTATCAGCAACCCAAGGCCTATTCCTGCAAGGCCAGACATGCTGCCTCCATCCAGCCCTTTCACCATCTGTTCCTCCCAAAGCACCCACCACCTCTCTCCTGGGTTCAATAACTTGCTGCAGTGGCCACACAGAACTCACAGAGTACGCGGTTTATTAGGGAAGCACCAGGCTACAATTCAAGTTCAGGAAAAACGCTCAGTCTCTCTCCCAGCCCACTGTCTCTCAGCCAACAGTCTCTCACATTCTCTCTCCCAACAGTGCATATTCCTCGATGCCTCACTCAGCAAGGCATGTCTCTTGCGTCTCTTTCCCAGTAGCGCATGTCTCTTTCAGCAGCACATCTTCCTCAACCAGCAATCAGAGAGCTCTCTGCCTCTAGGAGACCTCCTTTTGAGCCTGGCAGAGTGGCCAAACTAGCCAATCATCACGTCAGAATTCTAAGCACCTGAGAGAGAGAGACCTTCCCAGAACATTGCTTTGTGCCACTCCCAATAGAAATATCCCAGGTGGATAACTTTAGCAATCAGGAGCTCCTCAGTTGCTCATGGCAAATCCCACCGTGGAGTTTACAAAGCCTTATGGGTAGAAAAGCCACACTGAGTAATTTACTACACCACACCACTTTTTGTAATAAAGCTGATGTAAACATTGCTAGGTAGGTTTTCTGTGACCATGAAGTTTTCATTTTTCTTGCATATATTCTTGAGTGGGCTTGCTGCCATATGTTAGGTGTGTGTTTAACCGTATAAGGAACTGCCAGTCTGTTCTTCCAAGGGGCTGTGTGACTTTGCATTCCCATAGCACTGTCTCATTTCAGTTGGTGCTGGGCTCCGCAGAGACTGCATTCTGGAAGTAATAGCCCACTTCTGTGAGGCACTGCCATCAGGAGAGCTGTTCAGTGAGTGGCTCTGACAGGCAGCCCTCATCTGCTAAGAAGACAGAGTGGCCTGTAGCATCTTGATTCAACCACAGGCTCATGTGCATGGGCCTGGTCTTAACCCGGGGCCCAAATCTTTTTAGAATGAAAATACCATTTCTTCTCAGATCCCAGCTATAGAAGATGGCTACTGCTGCTTCTCACCACAGTTCTTGTGACAGCAGCCATTACTCTCCTACTAGTATGGAAACTGGAAGTAGATGTGTATATTTGAGGCAGCAGGTCAGCTGGTAATCAGTCATTTTACCATTCACTACCGCCACTGCTTTGTCTGTAGTAAATTGTTTCCTTTTGGAGGCAGGCTGAGTCCAAATGTGGCCCTGAGGGTGGTGGAGAGTCCAAAGGTAGTGATGTAGGGTCAGAGGTCCCTACCAGTTCTGGTTGATCCAGGTTCCCTGGACACTAGGAGCTGTGGCCAGTCCTCCAAAATTCCATCTCAGTTCACCCATGCCAGCCCGCTGCTCATCCTGAACGGCAAGGATCAAGGTGCAAGCTTGGGGCTTAGATCCCTGAGTGGAGGCCTGTCAGGAGATACAATTGACACCTTTTAGTTTGCTGGGCTTTTCCCTCCAGAAGCCTTCAAAGCCACATTCGTAGTCTTTCTCTGGGTGGAAAACGCATTTCCACCTTGATACTAAGATGGCTCCAGACCCAGCCTTATCCCATCCAAATTGA